CAAAAACGCAGTTGGCATCAAATGGCATTGCGGACACAGACTCTATATGGGGGGGGGGGGGGGGGGGAAGGAAAAAAGGCATTTCCCCCCCTTCCCCCAAAAAAAAAAAAAAAAAAAAAAGGCATTGCGGGCACAGCTGTGACAGGCTACGCGGAGAAGAGTTTTTGTCTTTAGTCTCTTAGATTGAATATCTGCTGTAAGGGTTTTAAACCACCAGTACTTGGCCCAGCTGTAGGCCGCAGAAAACAAATAGTAGAAAGTACTAGAAACATTTCTAGTTGGATGAATTTGGGTGCTCCTGTAGTGGCCGGTACGTTTCCTAAAATAGTAGCACACTACTTTAGGAAGTACTGGTGGTTTAACATTGAACATTAATTCCCCCTTGCATTTTTTTTTTTTTCCCCTTGCATTTCACGTCAAGCTCAGTTCCTACAACCCTTGGCTGAGGAAATACAGACCGTTTTTTTTTTTGTTTTTTTTTTGTTTTTTTTTTTTTTAGACCGGAGTTCCAACTCCACTAGAAGCAGATGAGCAAAATACCACAAATCACCAACGGGCCTAGGGCAGTTGGTATACCCCTGGGCCGGGGTCCCACTAGCAAAGAGGATAGGATGAAGTTCCTAAATCTGGATGTGTTTTATGCAGAGATGCAGAAATTTAAAGCAGTTCAATCTCGATTTCCTGCTCCTCGCCACAAACACGTCCAGATTCAGACATTCGATCCGATCCTCTTTGCTAGTGGGACCACGCCCCTGCACTGTTGAAGTACAGATGCAGGGTCGAATCCAGTACAGATACCTTCAGATGAAAAGAATAAGACTATAATTCTGAATTGCCGGGGGCCTGTCAGTTCAATGATGGTATGATGGTATCTGCAGGCCATAGCCCTGCTGATTTTTTTTTTTTTTTTTTTTTCCCCTTTCAATTCACCTTCACTACCCCTGCAAACATAGCTTTGGGCCTCGCCCCACCACAGTCGAAAGGCGAAAAAATTTGACGGCTGTCAGAACAAATTCGACAGCCTCCATTCTACAGTTTGCCCCCCCCCTCGCCACACAGCACTGTAGAGTGCACGCACTTGTGAAAGCAAGATGGAAAAAGACGAATGCGCCCGAGGGTAGGACAAGCATTAGTCCATCCCGACCTTAGCCCCCCTCACCGAATTTCGAAGAGAAGTCGACGGCGCAGCCGAGGAGTGTCGAAAGTATGGGAGTAGCAGGCTGGGGATTCAACAACTTTCGACAGGAGCTCTCGAGAAGCATGCTCTGACAACTGGATAATTTTTTTCCCGTCTCCGACTTCGACAGCCTGTGTGGCGAAGAGAAACTGTCGAAAATTGCATTTTTTGACAGTGGTGCGGGGAGGCCCTTTGTTGTCTCCCTCCAGCCATCAGAGGGGGGCATGTTGCCCCCGCCCGGACCATGGTGGTGAAGGATGGGGTGGGGCCGCCGGTGGTGGAAGTCTGTCTAACGCAAAGACCTATCTGTAATGCAGTAGCTGCGCCTCCCTTTTCATTGTCCCCCACCCCCAACCGACCAGGCTGTCAGAGAGCAGAAAAAAAAAATAAAAAAAAATTGGCGGTGCATCTTTCCATGTTCTAGAGGAGGATTCCTTCTTCCGCCACCTCCGCCCCCCCCCCAAAAAAAAAAGAGGATTGTTTTTTTTTTTTTTTTTTTTGTTGTTGTTGTTGTTTGTTTGTTTGAATGTTTGTTTGTATTCCAAAAATCATGATGACTGGGGCCGGGGTCCCCACAATTCAACCCGGGTCAAGCCTCTGGCAGCATTAGCCAGCTTCTCTTTTTACGGCACCGAAAGGAACAGGGTAGCATCAACATGAGAGCGGGCGGTATATAAGATGAGTTCTAATGGTCTTCATAGGGGATGGGGAGAGGAGGATTCCTAGTTGGGGGAAAACTTGAATCTTGGGTGGGGAATTGGTTGATTGAAGTGACTGGAGGTAAGAGGGGGAGATAGGGTGTTTGAGGACCAGGAGGAGATGAGTGAGGTGTGGAGGCGTGTAGGGCAAGTGGGGGAAGAGGATTGGTTCTTGCGTGGACATTTGGCCAGTAGAGGGGAGGCCTGGGCCTTTGCTCCACAACCCTCCACATGCACAAAAGACCACAAAAAAAGTTTGCTATGTATCTTTCCATGTTCTAGAGGAGGATTGATTTGTTCTCGTATTAAACATGGAGGACATGAAAAGATACACCTCTTTTGTGCATGTGCCATGTGGACATTGTGGAGAGTCCCGTCTTTTGTGCATGTGGAGAGTCCCGTCTTTTGTGCATGTGGAGAGTCACGTCTTTTGTGCATGTGGAGAGTTATACAGCAACAGCCCTGGCACGGCTACAGGACAAGGAAAGGGCAAAAGAAAGAAATAAAATTTAATGAATCCAGGACCTCCTCTAGAACATGGAAAGATACATCACATGAGTTTCGAGTTGGTTTAAAAAACAAAAAAAACAAAAAAAGATACATCACCAAACTCGTGGAGCAAAGGCCCAAAGGACAGAAAAAAAAAAAGAGAAGCCAGGTGAAAAGGTAAACCACATGAAACGGCGTTGTATCTTTCCATCCATGTTCCAGAGCAAGATTTAGTCTCATTTTGCAGAGTAGTGAAGGAGGGCCCTAATGACCAACTGGACGCGGCACCCAAAACAAAAAGAAAAGAAGTAAACGCCCCTGCCAGCTGTGCAGCTGTCTTAGCACAGAGTGTCAGAGCTATTCTGATGAAGACCATCTGGGATGACCATAACAATCTACTATTTAGATCCAGAGGACAGTCAGACTCGCAGTTCAAGAACTTGGTGACTCAGCAAATCAGAATTCATGTTCAGAGAGACAGTGGGCATAGCCACACAACTCTCCAAATGTGCAAAATGAGAATGAACTTCTCCCGCTAGAACATGGGCAGATGCACCCGCCACATTTTTGTCTTTCTCACATTTTGAGAGTGGTCTGGCGAGGCCCTGTGTAAGACAAAGGGTTCAAAGCTCTCACCTAAGGCAAGGAAGGGGTTTTGGGACACATGGGGGAGAGATTCCAGACTGGTTAAATGAGACTCTGTAGGTAACCTGCAGTTCTGTCAGTGGCTGTTGTCCCCAGCGGGGCAAGGGGACCCGTAGTCCCCCGCGCCGCGGAAAACCCCGTTAATCCGTTAAACCACTGGTCCCCCTGCCTGCAGATCTGTAGCCGTCAGATCCGTTAACGGATCTGACGGCTAGTGGGAAGTAGACCAATGACTAGAAGAACCTTGGATGCACACTTTTTTTTTTTTTTGGGGAACTTTCTTTAGGTCGAAGGGACACTGGACTCGGTTTCCAGGACGAGAGATGACAAATGATCACAGATAAGTCAAGTCCAAGAGGTAAACTCCAAGAGTCGACAAGATTGAACAAACAGTTGATCTTTGAACTCCTTGAACAGACCACATTCCACACACCCAGTAAACTGCCAAACAATCCAATGAGCCCGTCCACGTCCGTTCCTCCCTTGCGGCAGACTCGGGCGCAGACCCAAAGAGGTCGAACCACTGTCAAACAATCCTATTTATAGTCACACAGTCCTACAGGTTACGGAGACTTCACAACAAAATGGATGGTTCCAGAAACCTCAGTAGTCAACGATCAGTCCGACGGTTCGAAACCTCAGAAAGCTACTTCAGACGAACATGTCAAAACCCAGAGCCTGAGCCCGGCACCAGACCTGACAGGTCCGGGGGTCAAGGCTTCACAAATACTACGCTCAGTCCTACCCTGTCCGATGAAACCCCTAAGACTATTGCAAACAAACAACTTGAAGACAAACATGTCAGGACCCAGGGTCTGATCCTGGCCCTAGGCCTGACAGTTCCTGATACCAAAGCCTCCCATGCAAGTCCTACTCTGTTCGATGACGCCGATCTTGAATCATACGAACCAACATCCACGTCTATCCTAGGGTCTGAGGATACCTAAGCAAGAAACAACTTCGGAAAAAAAGGGGAAAGAAGAAAAAAGCTAGCATACCACAGATCAAGCATGACAAATGATACGGACAGTCTGCTGCCAAATCGCATCCTTTCTGACGGCAAACCATTTGAGGACACGAACAAAAAATTTGTGCGTGAAGTCCTTCAGCAACAGTTCCCGTTCCAACGTAAGGACTCGCACAGGAATAGCTGACCGGATAGTCGTGTTTCGATCGATACGGTGTAAACAGCTTCCAGTAATCGCACTTTTTTGGCGTTTGCAGCCCCATGAGTAGGACTGCCCCTTTAGGATCGTCAACTTCCTGCTGGTCCAAACACAGTCCTCAGTTTTGCACAGTTGAGCATTTCCCAAGAAAGGATAGGTTTGGGACGTATGGATATGGCAGCCAAAAAAGTCCAGTGTGCCAGTACCGTCATCGGTACGTTTCACCAACAAGCAACATGGGTAACACCGTCCGAAATCCTCCAAAATCTTCTCGCGAGTCCGATCGTCCTTGCTTGATACTGCCAGCAACACGTCGTCAACAAGTCTCGTGGCGAAGACAAAACGGGCTGAGCGACCCAAATTGCACAAAAAACGAAACTCGGAAAAAGCGCACAAGATATTGGCCAATGGCCAATGGGGGGCTGGTAGTCTTTCCCATTGGCACGCCCAACACTTGTTTCAGGAGAACACCGGTAGCGAAAAAATATGTGTGCTTAATATCCAGCTGGACAAATGATCGAATATCCTCCAGGTCTAATTCTACCCAATGGTCACTACCCGTAGTAGTACCAAAGCTGGCGCCCTTCCCACGACTGTTGACACGAACAAAAGGCCGTCCTTTCCACTGATGGTGATCAATCAACCAATCTACCGCTCGACAAATCTCCTCTTGAGGAAGTTTGCTAAACATGTCTTTAGTATCGAAGGTGAAGGACGACACCACACTATCGCCCCTTAGTCGAGAAAAGCGCAGATTAGTGGTTTCCAATTTCCCCGCTAGCTCCGATACAGAACGCAGGTTGAAGTGTCACCCCTTCGGTAAAGAGTCAAGCAAGAAGTTTACTAGTCCTTTGGCAACCATTCGGCCACTCTTTTGCGTGCGGCGCAGATAGGCCTGAACCGCGTCAAATCCTTATGCTTAAGCGAGATATATGCAGAACCAAAGTGATCGTTAGAATCCCATCGGGCAAAGCGATCTAAGCCGACCGACGAGACATCTTCGCAGATTTCGCGGAGCTTCTCACCTTCGGAGACCGACATTATTTGATAGCCGGTATTAAGAACAAAAGTACTCAACATTCCCTCATAATACTTGGTCGGGCACATTACAACTGACTCACCAGGATTTCGATCCACAGCGGAGATGACCAGATCGTTCAAACGCTGCTTGAGGTCCAAAGACCACTTGAAGGTCCAGAGACTTCGCTGCTTCGCCAGAACTAGAGACACAGGATTCGACAACATCGAGAGGGACCTCTGTCGGAGGACCCTGAAGATTCCGCCAATCTTTAAACGCATGCGACAATTCATCATGGAGCATCGGTAGGTGGTTGGCCAACCTAGCTCGTGGCACATTCTTAGCGTTAATAGCCAAGGGGTGCACGTCCTTCAAATCACTAAGATGGAAGACAACATGCCATTCCTTGCGAGGGAACGGTAAACCTGCACAAGAACAGGTTTAACGTGTCGCAAGACTACAGTGGTTGTGCAATATTTCCAAAAGTGACGGGTTCTTTACCCATACCGTTCGGATTTTCTTACGTGCACGCGTCAAAAAACAAGGTAAGTTGCAGCTCATCAGTAAATCATTAGCTATCTGACGTACCTTCGAAGTCTTGATTCTATCGGCGTACCTAATACGAAAATTCAGATCAGCAGAGCGACTTAAGTTGAAACGATCCCTGAAGCAGCGCGATATCAATTTGCGTAGATACTTCCTAGTTTACTTGCGTGAGAAGTCCTTAACAACATCATAGATTCCGAGAACTGATTTCATGCCCCATTTGTACAATATCGACAGTTTCCGAGGGTCTCTAAGGATGCTAACCAGAACGTTCTTCAAGTATCCGTAGCGAGGCTTCCATTTGACTACGTGCAACACACAAAACAGACCACCTGCCTCAAAAAGCTGGAAGCAGCTTTTTAGCGCTCGAATCATTGTTCCGGTCTTAATCCTAGATTCACCAAAACTCTTGACAAGCTTCTTCCAGCTCGGACATCAAATATTGCCCTTGTCCTCACGAATTGCACAACATGCATTGCCTAGAGATAAGATACGATCGAATAATTTGAAGAAATCGACATCGATCTGGCAGGAGGATTCACAATGGAAACGAATCGGGACAAGCCCACGTTCATTGCCTAGCTTATTACCACGAGCACGATTCCGTTCGTTTCGCCCTGGCTTACACTTCTTTCCCAACCGTCGGACACACTTACCATTGCCGGTAGAATTAAGGAATGGACTCCGTTGACGGATGTAAATTTCCTCTAGTTTACACAAGTCCTCCCCGACCAACACGTCAACCGGGATTAATACGTAATTTCCAATCCCGAAGTTGCTGAGCCATCGATGACGGTGGGACTGTGTACGGGATTTACAAGTATATATATGTTCCCGCCATCTCGTATCAACATCACGAGTAGTCTTACCGACATAGCAAGATTTACAGTACGGTGAGAGGGCAATATACACACAATTAGTGAGTTTCACAAATTTAGTGCCGTGCTTGTTATATAGGGAAATCCATGAACTGATGTACTTCCTAGCCCAGCGGATCTCGTTCTCCAAAGCTAACAGTAGGACAACACACCTAAGCAAGCTTTCAATCCGGCGATCAACAGACGAAGACTTACAGCGTAGACTTGTCAGGTATCTACATACTACCCATAACTGCGAGGCCCTCAACCTGCTTCGCCCATCGAACGCATCCGGTTGTCCGCTCATCGCCTCGTCATCGGTTGATTCAGCGATGCGAATGACCTCTGGCTCATGCTTTAGCTCGCAGTCGAAAGTGAGCGTTGTGCAATGCTCGGCAATGTTGAAGATGACATCCACCTTTTTGTCGTAGTGTATGCCTTCCTCCTTGCAGATCCGCTGAAGTTCAGTAGAGTCGAGGTTCTTCAATTCCTTCATTACCGTATTCATGTACCGAAGGCGTGCTAACGCACCATTCGATATGGGGGTCAAATTCCCGCCTGGGGACTTCTTCTTGGCCGCCAAATTCTTCTTTCTTGATAGTGGAGTCATAACAGGTGATCGCCTCTTCGCCGAGCCAGGTGTCTTCATGGTCTTCGAAACCTTGGAACGAGTCGGCCGAGTCGTCAACTTGGTCGGTTTCAAAGAACCCTGTCTCGGTGTCCTCTTTGAAGTCCTTTCCATGGGCGGACTATTTTCAAACACAGGGTCCGGCCCGCGCTTATGCTTCTCGGATATTATGCAGAGCCTTTCGGCTCTCTCACTAATCTCCTGCGGAACGCTTGTCTCGCTTTCTTCTCCACTGCAATCAGCCGAGGACTCTTCTTCCGATTCATAGACTACCTTCTTCTTACCCTTATCGCGGCCCGCCGTGCAGCCTTGCCCTCCCACGATATTCCTCCAATTCTTGACCAGGTTCCCTTGCATTTCATTCATCATGATCGCCATCTGTATACCAAAATCCTTCCTCGTCTCGGCTTGGTGCTCAGCGTCATGTCGAGCCTTCTCCTTTCTCTTCATGGCCTTCCTTTCGCGTCTGGCTTTTTCCTCAGCCTCACGCTGCTTGGCTTCCTCCTCTCGCCTCATCGCTTCCTCCTTCTCACGCTTCTTAGCCGCCTTCTTCTCTTGTTTAGCACGCTCTGCATGAAAATGCTCCATCACGGCAAAATTCTTCCCCATCTCGGCGATCTGTGCTCGAACTGATGGATATAGCTGGGCATCCTGCCCCGGCCCATGGCGACGTGGTGATCTACTCCTTAGAGAATCACTTGAGGAAGACGGTCGCGCAGCACCGGTAAGCCTTCTAGATCTGTAAGGACACTGGTTGGCATAGTGTCCAGCTTCGTTGCAATTGAAGCACGTTGGCGGGCGGTAGGGTCGCCGATCGCCACCTTCGCCTCCATTCCATGTTCCTTCAGCATCACGTTGCTCCACGTCTGACATGGCACCTTCGCTCGAACGGTATCCGCGCACACCAACAGTGGCTTTCGTACTCCCGTCGCAGCAATCATGTAGGGAGACAGCAGCAGTAAACGTAGCAAACAGTAACAGCGATAGTAATAGGATCAGTACAAGTTGATCACGCTCACTCCAGCCCGGTAGATTATCTCCAGGTAAGTTCACGTGCGCGGTGAAAGATGAGAAATCATCACAGATAAGTCAAGTCCAAGCAATAAACTCCAAGAGTCGACAAGATTGAACAAACAGTTGATCTTTGAACTGCATGAACAGACCACATTCCACACCAAGTAAACCGCCAAAAGATCCAACGAGCCCGTCCACGTCCGTTCCTCCCTTGCGGCAGACTCAGGCGCGGACCCAAAGAGGTCGAACCACTGTCAAACAATCCTATTTATAGTCACACAGTCCTACAGGTTAGGGAGACTTCACAACAAAATGGATGGTTCTGGAAACCTCGGTAGTCAAAGATCAGTCCGACGGTTCGAAACCTCAGAAAGCTACTGCAGAAGAACACGTCAACCCAGAGCCTGAGCCCAACACCAGAACTTTTTTTTTTTTTTAATTTAATTTAATTTAATTTTAATTCAAATGAAGATTGAGGCCGGGGTCCTCACAGTCTACCCGGAGTAACAGAACCGAACATGCTGAGAACCGGGCTCAGCATCCCTCATGTGATGATGATGGTGATGCTAGTGATGATGGACTTCTAGTGACCAGAACTGACAGGTCCCGCGGTCAAGGCTTCACAAATACTGCATTGTTCCCAAAAAAAAAAAAAAAAAAAAAAAAAAAAAAA